CCAATTTACTGATTTTTTTCAGTAGTCCTTACTCCCCCATTCATAGCCCTGTACTATAAGTTTCTTGCTACTTTTTAACTATTTGCTAGGACTGACTCCATTACATTTGAAGTGCCTAGTTTTAGCCAGCATAAAATCTGTTAGGTAAATTAATGTGCACCCAAGTAGACAACCTATACAATAGTTAATTCGGCTGCCATTTTAAATTATCTCTTGTAACCGGGAGTAGTTAGCCCGCTTGTCAGTCAGCCGTACCATCTTGTCAGACCAAACTTGGATAAAAGAAGACCTCTTCGGTCATATTGTGCAACACTATCGATAAACTCCGTAGTATATCTCTTTCACAGACTGTGAACTGTTATCTCCTTGATTGAAGTTTAAGATATGCGAGTTGTTTATGCATTACGCAGGTCTTGCGTTCTTCGGCTTTTCGCTTCATCCCAGTGCTCTTTCCCTTTTTTTTCCACAGCATATGATCAAGTACAGATACATGCCCTTCACCTACGGTAAACCGCGCCCTCTGTCAAAAGGCGGAAGTGATACTGTGCGGCATATATAACCTGTTTCTTATTATCCTGTTCTCCACCTTCCGGACCACCTGTGGCCATGTCTGTAGATATTTTCTTTTCAAGAGGAAAAATCTCTTGCTTACATGTAGCACTCTTCCTTTCTGATCCAGTTTTCGAGCACCATCTCTCGACCAAAAATACTGCAAATTTTGCGTTTTAGTTAAATTATTTTCTCACGATTTGACTGATATCGGCTATTTCCAAACACCGGCTGTTCTAATATTAAGACACACGTGACAACACCAATGTCCGTCAATTTGAACTTCCGTAATTGAGGCCTCCTTACACAACTAAAGTTATTCAATCGGAATTCTTTCTCTGTGCTCTAGAAGTGCACGTCTGCATCCCCAGAACGGTCTTCACGGAACCTACTCATACTATTTTGTCCACAACTTGTTCTTGCGTATGATGACCACCCCACCATCCGAAATTTTAGTGGATAGCCGTAACTTGGCGTTGTACGTTTCTTAAATTTCTTGTCAGCGGCACTTTTAAAGTTGACAGGGTGGATGTTTTGTGAGGAGAAAAGCTTATTTCGTAAAACGCACAAAGCCCACGTGTCAGTTAGCACTTTGCAGAACGTTGAATTTCTTGTCCGTTGATTTTTATGATAGCTGCGGGTGTACTAGCTCCCATTCCGTTCATGGTCACATTAACTGTGTACTACTCTAGTAGTCCACAGATGCACCGTATATTCTCTATCTCATGAAATGCCAACCGAAATTCTGAAGTACGTTTTCCATTCGAATAAATGAGTTAATTAGTATCGTTATATTGATTAGCGATGAAATCCCAAGATATTTCAGTCACGGTTGGATGCCTGCTTTTCAAAGAGCTTCTTTCCGACCGTCCACACCTACTGAAGTAGTATTCATTT